AAAGAGGGGGAGGCCTTCAACAAGATGGATTGACACGGTGGCTGCGATGATGGGCTCAAGTATAGCAGGGATTGTGGGGCTGGCGCGGGATCAGGCAGTTTTTTGTTCTGCTCGATGACACTTAACAACAACAACAATATTATATAAACATACTTTTTTCATTTAAAACATGAATATTTGCCTTAAATTATCATTACAAATCACTACATATAGTAAAATATAAAATAGAAAATTGAAAGGATAAAAGCAACATTATTACTGGCTTTTTGCACATATACTTTAAATTGTACAGTTATGCGGTTATATTCTCCTAGTTATTTATTTTTTATCCCACCTTGTAACTTAAGTTATTAAAGGTGGTTTCCTTTGTGTGTGTGTGTGTGATTAACCACAAACAACCACCACCCATTGCCAAATGCAAACCCACTGCTGTGAGTCAATTCCAGCTCATAGCATCCCTATAGGACAGGGTAGAACTGCCCCCATAGGGTTTCTAATGCTGTAAATCTTTACAGAAGCAGACTGCGACACCTTTCTCTTGTGGAACAGCTGGTGGGTTTGAACTGCTGGCCTTTTGGTTAGCAGCTGAGCATTTAACCACTCTGCCTACCAAGGTTCCTTCCACCCATCCTCAGTTGTAGACTCGAACTTCATGTTTAGATCTCAGTCTACAATGAGGTTGTCTATGTAGCTTCCTATAAAGATTGACACTTGTTACATTTTGCTGTTATTTTTGACATTTCAATCCAGACTTTAGAAAATTTTTAGTTTATCATCTAGTTTTTCTAGATTATATTTTTGTGTTTCTTAGATTATTTTTCTTAGAAGACTACCAACAAAACATTATAAATTTATGACAGACTTCCTTGAGCAACACTATAAACTAACTAGACCTAGCAGACATCCACACACAGAAGAATATGCACATTCTTCTCAAGTGCAAATTAAATGCTCTTCAGGATAGATCATATGTCAGGCCATAAAATAAGTCTGAATAAATTTAAAAGAACTGAAATCATACAAAATATATTCTCTGACCACAAAGGAATTAAAGTACAAATCAATAACAAAAGGAAAACTAAAAAATTTACAAATACATAATGGCCAATACCAGTCCAATTCAGCTCACTAATGCCTAGAATATCTATCTTTACATGTTCTATTTCATTTTTGACAACTTCCAATTTTCCTAGATTTGTACTTCATACATTTCATGTTCCAATTATTAATAGATGTTTGCTGCTGTTTCTTCTCATTTTGGGTTGGTTGAGTAGTCTGTGTATACGTCTTATTTACTATTGAGCTGAGAGCCAGCCTCTGGGAGTGAGTTTTATGCCAGGGCCAAAGTGTATCC